CGTTTCGCGCTGGCTGCCCGCCTGCCGTACCGCAGCGTGCCACGGCGCTTGAAGCAACTATTTCACACCAGAGGTATTGCACAGTATCATACGAAAGTGAAGGCGCTCTAATATATTAGGAATGGCAGGCATCCATCAAAAGTACGGAGCTTTCCTCGCAAAATAAATCAAGATACAACGGCCCAAAAAGAGAGCAGTGGTCCAAAAACTCGCTAAGTCCTAGCATCGGTGATTAGTGACGTTTAGCATACACTTTATCGCCTGGCTGTGAGTTGCTTAATCGCCATCGGCTATAAATAAGAAATTGTGTAGACGGCTATAGAAGCTATTTTGGAAATATTACAGCCGGCCGTAGGTCTATGGTATTTTGGAACACAGATTCTACTGCCAATTTTTACCAGGGATATCGATGAAGACCCCTTTCTGGCGCCACTAAGAATAAGTCACTGGCGGCTCAGTTCACTCTTGTGCTAACAGAGGGCGTACTATTACATCATTGTCACTATGGTTGCACTAAAAAGTTTGTCAATGTAACATTCAAAATCGATATTCTATTGTAACCATGCACGTTCTATTGCGTTGAGAATATAAGATTCGCGATCCTGCAAGTGCGGGTATAGCCAACTCTTCAGGAATTTTAAACGTCCAGCATCCTTTTAGATCTAATGTTTTCCAGCCCCGAACGGTCCCACGTAGCCTGAGATAGTTGAACCAATCAAAATTGGGTCCTTTAGTTCTTACACTCTCTCTGAAGACACTCTAACATCACAGGGAACGAGGAAACCAACAGCTCCATATACGTGCGATCCTTCCTACATCTCCTGGTGGGTGTAATTGTCGGTGTACTGATACATCTGTTAGTGATGCCACCTCACACTTAATTTGTTGCGCCGCACAGTGGATCAAGCCCATGGGAGAAGGCGGACAATATCTGGAAACTCTATAAGCTTACATCGACAATGAAACTCCCAAAACCACTTATGTCGTTTGCGGGCCTTTAAAATCTCCCCTTCTATTTTAATTTTTTAATAGGTAGCAAACCAACATCATGCTTAGAAGTTTTCAAACAATTTTCTTCACTCATGGACGAAAAATCACACCAGTTTTTTTAAATAATGCCGTGAAGTAGTTTTCCATTGAAAAATTAAAATGTGACGGGAAATTTGCAACGTCACACAGTGGATCGAGTCAATGAGAGAAGTAGAACATGAAATTTTTGACAAAAATTGTACAATTTTACGTTTATCTCATCACAATTTTAATTCTAAGGGGTGCTTTTTACAGGAATTTTTACGAGAAAACCAATGAAACTATTATTAAAACATCAAAATTGTATATATTAATAAGGATCTACGAATGAAAAATAATACATAAAAAAAAAACACTAAGAAGTGGCCCGAACTGTATGTAACAAGGTGGAGCACCATTCTCCACCACCACCACCACCACCATTCCCAGCACCATTTCTCCACCTTCTTACATAAAGATATACGCTTTTAAAGTTTGCATATCATGTCCGACCTCTCCCATTGACTCAGTCCACCGTGCGTCGCAAACCGAGATACGTGGTTTGGGAGTTGCATTGTCGATATCTTCGTAGATACGAAACTTAGAAGTTTTAAAGTTTCTCAATAATTGGTTGTCTCGTAAACTTTATTTCTATTCAAGAGACACCCCTTAAAATGCATTAGATGACAAAATAAACATCACAATTTTCAATTTTAGTCAAAAATTGTATGTCCAACGTCTCCTAATGATTCGTACGTTTGTGCGCCTCTGCAATGAGAAAAAACCGCGGTTTCCAGTGAATCATGCATCATCAACGGAAAGGGGGTACGTACCTAGATTCTGTTTGATGGTCCATTAAAACCAAACTCGAAGGTCCCTCGCAAGTTTGATGAAGAGGTGTAAATTCGATCTTAATTCCTGATGAGGAGGTGAGAATCGAGAACAATAAGTGACATTGCGCGCGTATAATCAGCACTCGTTTCAGCCACTTAACTCCGGGCAGACGTCCTGCTGCCTCTTAGATTAGTAGACCTTGTCCTTCTTCTTTATTGACTGCGCCGATGTAGCTAAAATTTGAGAAATTAGGAATACTTTTGCTTAGCCCTCACCATTGTCCGAGTGACTCGACCGTGGCATGAGGCGTCGATGCAATTTCTCTCAACAATGTCCGTTGCAGCTCACGACAATGAGTGTGTATGAGTGTCACATCCGCACAACGGAATTTTATGTGAACTAATTTTAGCACACATTCGCACTGGAAGTAATTCTCAGTCCTTGTTTTTTATTGAAAGTTCTAGTTTTGGGCCTGGATTTCATTCACGGAGGCATTGGCGGAGGCCGGATGGATTTGATGGATTACTCATACTCTCTCCACGTAGATCCTCTTACACTGAAAAAACAGTTAGGGCTATGTAGACATTCCGTCCGTTCCGGGCTCGGAGGCCTAAACTTCCAGGTGCTCGAGCCGTATCTTCAATTGCTCCAGGTGCTAAGCCTGGAAGTTTCGGCCTCTCGGCCCGGAACGCGGACGATATGAGTGTTCTTTAATAACTGTTCGAGCTTATCTTCTTTAGCATGGGGAAAAATTATTTAACAGATGCATCATACAAGCATCTCTCAAAATCATGTTTTAATTCATAATTTATGTTCAGCTTCAATTTGAGCCCGGACCAAAGCACATTCGCCCTACCCCAGTTCAGTATTTTAAACACGGTCATTGCTGACGCATGTCCGGAAAAGTTGCAGTGCCCCAGACTGAAGTACAGGTCAATCGACGGCGTTTGTAACAATCTAGTCAATGGTCACTGGGGAAGAGTTGGAACCGCTTACCAAAGAGTCTTACCGCCAAAATATACCGATGGTGAGTGCAATATAAAATAAAAAAACAAATATTATTTTCCCGTCTTTTTTTATGGAATTAAGATTGCCTGCATATCACTAGAAAATTTTCTCTGTAAAAGAAAAATAAATAAAAACAGAAAATTAGCCGAATATAATGAAGCTACCGTGCAAATGTATTATATCCATCATATTGTTTGGATTTCCCTCGATGTAATGGGCTGTTCATACGTAATGCTAAAAAATCTGATAGTTTACCACATACCTCCTCCCTTCTACAAGTTTGATTCACAGTAATTGTTTCATATTTCTTGCATTTGATCCTTTTTTCTTCTTCTTTCATGTAGGGATCACCTCGCCAAGATCTAACGGCGTCGATGGCCGAGAATTGCCCAGTGCCAGACTGGTGAGCTCAATAGTGGCTCAAGATGCGGACGTACCAGACGCCAACCACACGCTCATGGTTATGCAGTGGGGTCAGTTCCTGGACCATGATCTCACGCATACCCCCATCAGTCGAGGTACCAAAAAAATCTATACCATTGGGTATAAAACAGATGTATTTTGGGTTATTTGGATTAAAATGATCTTCAAAATTTCCAGGTTTTCAAGAGAGTCAAATCAACTTACGGGC